CAAGGTTAAGGTTGCCTAAAATTAGCCACTTTAAATGTACCCTCTGGTGCAATTTAGAGAGTTCACATTGGCCCACAGTGATCTTGTCATTATTTAGTTCAGAACTTTTCATCACCCAGGAATACACAGTCTACTCACTGAACATTCCATTCAGCATCTCTGTCCACCTGCTTTTTTCTGGACTGTTCCACCCTGGACACACATGGATCCAGACTCACATGATGTTTGTGACCTCTGTGACCAGCCCATCTCACTCAACAGAGTGTTTAAAGAGCTGTGAATGCATCATCTCGAGTCGAAAGCCACCACTGAATGATATTCCGCCACCTGGGACCACATTTTGCTTGTCCACTCATTCACTGCTGGACCTTTGAGCTATTTGTACTTTCAACAGGTTTGGGGATCTGTGTAATGCTGTTTCCCCCCAGGCACCATTCCTTGGTTTCTGAGATTTCCTGGACAGCCCATTTCCCTTGTGGGAAGGGTCAGAGTACCCACTGACACCAGTGGTCAGCATTGGAATGGACACTTGACTAGGAGCCTGTAAGCTCAGGTAGCCCCTTGCCATGTGTAGGGCTGGGCTGCTCTAACATGGTGGAAGAATAAAATTCCCTCCTGACATGGGTGCTGGAATCTCCAAAGATCCTGGGATGGTACTCTGCATCTCCTCAAGGATAGATGTCACCCCCTCTGTGAGCTCTCACCTTGTAAAGAACATGACACCTGGAGGTGGCCCACGAGGAGCCCTCACCCCCATGTGGGAATTCCCAGTTGAACCCAAAAGTGATGTAGGATGGGAACTCAGGGCTTCCACAAGGCCGCCTCTGCTGACTGCGAGGGAGCTGTGGGCCATGCCTGCTTTTTCTTTTCACTCCCTCAGGACAGGGACATGAGTGTTGGCCCCGACTTGACTAACTTAGATGGTCTTCCTAGGGTAGTAGGCCCTAGAGGCTTTGTCTTTACTTGATCACTTGGCACACTTGTAGTCTCAACACTGGGAAAGTGGAGACAGGGAGCCCAGGTTCAGTGAGATACCCTGTTTCAAAAAGCAAGGTGGATAAGACATGCTCAATAGGAAGGAATTCCTGCCTGGTACTGTAAACATAGTCAAGTATCCATGGCTGGAGATGTCAAAGACCCTAAAGAAGAAACTACTACTGACACTTTCCTGCATCAGTGTAATTTCTTACTATACTCCAAATGCTTATCCTTAAATTCACAGACAAGTGTCATTCTCACCACCATCAAAGAAGCTTCTTTTGCAACACAGGAGACTATTACAAAGTTCCACAACTGGTCAAAATGCAGAGAATAAGTGACTGTGAGGTGCCCAACTCTAAGTGATACATCTACAATGCAACCTCTATACCTAAGGCTCAGGGAACATGGTGGAAGTGGGGGCAGAAAGAGTGTAAGAGCCAGAGGAACAAGAAACCAGCTGCTAGATAATGCAGTCTAGACGTGAAAGGGAAGCTGCACCCAGGAAATCTTCACAGTGTGCTAGCCTAACAAAATCTGCACGAAGACAAAACCAGTTGACATTCCAGTGTGGATGGGGGACATTTCACAGGGTCCCACTTCTAGAAGAAGAGGTACAGGTAATCAATGGATGTTGAAGGAGGGAGAATCCGTTTTCTCCAGGGACTAGCTCCCTGATACATTATCTAATCCCAAGTGGTTAACCCTAACATGTACATAGGGGCACCACTAAATAGACTCAATGCAATATTTATATGCATATTTATGAATGCATGTATTTATGTCTATGTAGCACTAATAAAGAGCAGGACAAGAAATTGAGAGGGAATGTGGAGGGGGACTAGGAGGGGTAGAAATACAAATATGATACTCATAATACTCATGTATGAAGTTCTTAAAAAGATTCTTTTTTTTTTTTTGGTCTTTCTGAGATAGGGTCTTCCTGTGGCCCCAGCTAGACTGGAACTTGCTATGTAGACCAGGCTGCCTCTGCATTGCAAGTGCTAGGATTAAAGGACTGCACCACCACACCACCACACACAAAAAATTCTTTAAAAAAAGCAAGGTGGGGGGGGACTGGAGCGATGGCTCAGTGGTTAAGAACACTGGCTGTTCTTGCAGAAGACCTGGGTTTGAATCCCAGCACCCACATGGCAGCTAACAACTGTCCGTAACTCCAGTCCCAGGGGATCCAACAGCCTCTTCTGACCTCCGCGGGCATTGCACGACCTGGGTACACTTACCTACATGCAGGCAATACACGCATACACATAAAATAAAAATAATAAATAAAATATGAGAAAAAAAATTTTTTTAAAAAGCAAGGTGGAGAACGATTGAGAAAAACACCCAACATCACACACACACACACACACACACACACACACACAAATGGGAAGTGGAGTTAAGCACCTGCTTACTCAATCTAAATTGGGGACCAGCACAGAGAACTATGCAACACTGGAGGAAAGGATTCTGTCTGGAAGCTCACTAACTGGTTGCCCCCTGAAGGGGCAACACTGGCCAGTGGCTACTTCTCCCCACTGCGGTGTCAGAGCCTGGATTGTTCTGGCTCCTCTTCCCCTAGCACAGGGGAGTTCTGCAGAGCCAGCCTTGCTTGGGATCTGCCTGGCCTTCTGAGCACCGCACTGGTGGGGAAGGACTCGCCCTGTGAGTGTGAGGAAGCTGGCCAGAAGCGCTGCTATTTTAAGACGGTTGTTGCGCAGCTTCCTAAGAGGCCCAACAGATTTCTTTAATACCGTTAGAGAGGCATTAGTATGCTTGAAGAGCCAATGAAACAAAGGCAGGCTGGGGCCTGGAGAGAGCAGAAACACCTCCCCAGCTCCGTCCTGCTGCAGCATGTAAACGAATGCAACAGCGGAAGGATTTATTTTCCTGGAGCTGGGATCGGACTCAAATTAGCAGTGACTGTGCACATAACTGTTCACATTCCATCCACCTCCCTAGAATAGCCCCTTCTAACGAGAAGCCCTTGAATGAATGTTTCTTTCCAATTTGTTATTTGTCTTTAAAAATGGATCGATATGCTGATAAGGAAATCATCTCAAATTTAGCCCATATTCGGCTTGGGTTTTATTTTGCTCTTGTGGTGGTTTGTTTTGATTTTTTTTTTCTTTTTGAACTCCTTAAAACATGTTTCAGCTGAGCCACACAATTTAGCATGTAATGATTATCTCTTACTTTGTTCTCTCATTGCTCTGTGTGTGTGTGTATGTGTGTCCTCCCATCACTCAGTCTAAACTATGGTATCATATGCCTGTGAGACATGAAGATTCTCTTTTTTATTTTACCCTACTTTCCCATCTCCACACACAGCTGGGTGAGCCACAAGTAAAGGGGCACAGTTTGACTTGTGCATTGAAATTCTCCCCCAAAGCCACATCTATGTTAAACATTTTATAAGACTGACTGATTGACTATAGCTTCATGATTGTGGACAGTTGGAATGTCTCATATCCAGAGTCAAATTATCCTGGGCCATCTTTAGTCCCCTAAATTGTCATTCAAGAGCTACCTTTGTAACTGACCTAACATCCTTTTGACTATCAGGTAAAACCTTTGAAATATATTAACAGACCAGTAGCTTCCACCTACTCCAAAGCCAAAAGTGTCATCAGATAGCATCTAAGACCTTTAGCAGAGATTTCTGTGCTTGGCTGTAACCCTCCTATCTGATGTTCCCACCAATGAATTTGCTAAATGCCTTGATTTATGACTCTTTTGTTCTGTGATTATAAAAGCTTATGAACAACTTCCATAGCAGAACATGCTATTCAGGGCAACTTGAGTCCCTGTTCTGGATCATGGTCACTCATTTGGCTCAGAATAAGCAATCCTTTATCTCCTTTGAGATGAGAACTGTGTTTTGCATCAACAGGCTCATAAATAGTTGGGAACAAGTTTAGCTTTTGGATCTAGAAACTGGTGACCACAGAGAAGGGGATTGTGCATGCACGTGGGCAGGAATGGAGAGAGGCAGAGGGGGAGAAAGCCCACCAGGGACCCACTGGCTACTGAGGTAAGAGACAGAGCTCTGCTTTCCACTCATGATTTCAGTAAATGCTACAGATTTCAGAATTTAGTTGGCCAATCAGGGGCTGAAAACCTGTTGGAAAAGGCTTAACTGCTTGGGGTTACAGGTGTGGAAACAACTCCAAGTTCTGGATAGGGGTTGACTCACAGTGGGTCATGACTTGCCTCAGGAGTGCGACTTCCCACGTCCTGGGGAGTCACCTGTCAGATCCAGCAGCAGAACAAAGAGGTCTAGCCTGGAAAATGTGCCCAGTGTAGGATGCTAAGCCCCATGGAAAGGAAGCATTGCATTCTTGCTGCCTTCCCACACTGACTGGTTTCAGAACACCTCACAGAAGCACTTCTTGAGCTCTGTGCCCACTGCTAATGGCTTTGCTGGTCCCAGACAGGTTCTGTTTTCCGACCTGTGGGTCCTGAGAAGGGCTGGGCCTGCTTTCTAATCATGCATTGCCAGAATGGCCCTCTTATCTTGATGGGCAGCTATTTGCATTATGTACAGAGCCTCTGAGGAAGCAGTGGGGCCCTTTCAGCAATCAGCATCCATGTAGACCTGGGTGCTGATTCCCCTTGTGGAATTCTGTCTTAATGGATGAGGCATTGGGCCTAAGCCTTCTTTTAGCAAGCCAGGGCTTATCTGGGTGGAATCCTATCTCCAGACCAGAACATACTTCCAAAGGTGTCAAAGTCTTGTAGAACTGGTTTAAAAGTCCAGCTGATTTGTACAGTGGCTGGTGAATACTTTAGCACAATTTAAAGATAAAACATTTTGGTTAGATCTGAAAAATTCTTTGGTTTGGGGTATTTCAGGGTTCATTTTCAGTTTGTTTTGATAATTTCCTAAAAGCAGTTTTTTGGGAGACAGTGAACCAGCTCTGATATTTTTCCTGAGTGCTGTGGATGGAACCCATGGCCTCTTTCCAGCCAGCCACATACCTGCCCCGACTCTGACTTTTAAAAAAAATATTGTGGTGTTCTCTTTGGTAGCACATACACTAAAATAGGAACAACAGAAGATCAGCATGGCCCCTGTGCAAGGTTGACACGCAAATTTGTGAAGAGTTCCATATTCTTAAAACACCTGCCCTTGTGACATACTTGCAAGACACAGCATCATGGAAATATCGGCCCACAAGAACGAAGGAAAATAACTGTCTGCCATGGAATCACACCAAACACCTCCCACAGTAGCATATGAAACACCTACCTGCTGGGGCCCTACATTCAAAACCTACCTGTGTGATCCCATGTGAAATGCCCACCACACAAAGCATAACCAGCCAGGTGCTACATGAAACACCTTCAGGAGTCCCTGTGTGGAGCAACCATGCACTGAGGCACACAATAAAATAACCCGCTCAGGCTCAAAAATAAGTAAGTAAATAACTAACTAAATAAATAAATAAATAAAAATATTGTGGTATATGCATGTGTGTACACATATGAGTGTGCATGTGCGGGGGTGTGTGAGGCCATTGGGTGCCCTTCTCTGTCACTCTCCACCTTACACCCTGTAATCAGACAGGATCTGAACCTGAAGCTTACTGTTTTCTTCCAGCAAGGCTGGCCAGCCAGTGAGCCCCAGTGATCCTCCTTTTTCTATCTCTCCAGCTCTGTGGTTACTGGCCCATGTGATAATGCCTAACTTTTTATACAGATGCTGGGGATCTGAACTCAGACCCTCATATTTGTACAGCTAGTGCTCTTACCCACTGAGCCATCTCCCCAGCCCGAACTCTGATTTTGGGGGTAGGATTTTCTTGAGCAGGGAAATGTATTATGATATTCATTACTCAGAAAGTTTCTATATATATAAGGTCTTTACACCAGACAGTTAAAGTAGAAACAACAGCAGTGGACATTTTATCCCCAGAGAATACCCAGACTATGGCTTTAGTGTGTGCCCCAAGCAAGATTAAGGTGGGCTAGGTTAAACCACTGTCTGCACACATGGGCACATACATATTCCCTTTTCTACTGAACTGTCTATTATAGGGACTGGGCTGCTCTGTGAGGAGGCTGCTCCTTTAGACCCACTGAGTGTCTAGTAGTGTTTGCAAGGTTTTTAAAAGCTGCCTCTATAATTTGTAACGATTTATTATGCATTGCCAAGCATGGTGGCACATGTCTGTAACCTCATACTTGGGAGGCAGACGCAGGAAGATTGAGAATGTCAATCAACTTAGGCAAGATCTTGTCTCAAAAAAAATTTTTTTAAGCTGGGCATGATGGCATACACCTTTAATCCTAGCACTCAGGAGGTAGAGGCAGGTGGATCTCTGTAAGATCAAAGCCAGCATGGTTTACTTAGTGAGTTCCAGGTCTGCTGGGGATACAGGAAGACCCTGTCTCAAAAAGAAAAAAAAAAATTTTTCAAATTTGTCCAACAACGTGTCTGTTCTTTTGTGCAGAGTTGTTAACTCCGATGTCAGCGTAGATGGTATTGTGAAGGGATAGTTTTACTTGCAACTGGCATTTAAAATAAGGCAGACTGTCCTCTGAAATGTGGGTCGGTCTTGTCCAATCAGCTGAAGGCCATAAGAGCAGATATTAGAGACCTTCAGAGATGATGGACTCATGAAGAGTGCAGTGCAGAGGTCCTGCCTCAGTTTCCTATCTGCTGCCCTGTGAGATACAGGCTCAAGGCTAGAGAGTCAGCTCTCTCATGGGTTTCCAGCCTATGGACACACCCTGGTAACTGCAGACCTTCCAGCCCCACAAATAGGCTGGTCAGTTCTCTGAATCAGTCTCTTCTCTTTCTGTCAGACTCTCTGCCCTTCACTCATGATACATCTATGTAACAAGGAAATGCGCAATATGATATATGCCCTATTGTCCTCCGCAGAACCCAGATATAAATACCACATACTCAGAAGCCCTAGAGTGGCAGCATTTTGGTTAAAACAAGCAATTCCTTTTCTTCCAGAGTAGCTTGAGTTTGGTTAGAGAAAATGTATAAAATGTATCTTGATGAAGACAATTCCCGTTGCCCAAAGTTCATACAATTGGTATCCATAGATGATTTTCAGAAAAGCAGGTTGGAAAGTAAGATATTTAGGAAACTAAAGATATATAAATTTCATTTAAAACAACAAAACTCTCACTGCGTAGACAGGCAGAGACCATGATGTGGCCCAAGACTTGGAATTGACTTGCTTGCACAGAACCTCCCCAGGAAAAGAAAGCTATGCAGTTCAGTGGGAAAGAGACATTGTACTTGCTTGCTAAAAGTTATGAGAAAAATATAATTTCTGTGAAAATAACTTTCTTTTGTGATGAAGTGCTGGGCTTAGATCAGTCTGTGTCACACCATTGTCGCGTTGAAACTTGGCCCAAAGGAAAGGTTGCTGTGTTAGCTGCTTTTCCTGCTGCTGTGACAAATATCTGACAAAAAGCGACTTAAGGAGGGAGAGATTTACTTTGGCTCATGGTTTGAGAATACAGTCCACCGTGGTGGGGAAGGCATGACGGCAGGAATGTAGGGCAGATGGATGCTTTGCATCCACAGTTGAGAAGCAGAGAGAGAGATGGATACTGGTTCTCAACTCACTTTTCCTTTTCATTAAATCCAGGACCCCAGCCCACGAAATGGTGCTGCCCACCTTCAGGGTGGGTCTTCGTCCCTCAGATAACCCAGTCTAGAAATTCCCTCCCAAATGTGTCCCAGAGGTTTGTCTCCAAGGTGATTCTAGATGCTGTCGAGTTGAGAGTCAAAGTTCACCCTCATAGCTGCTTTCAGAGCAGAAGCAAGAGCAGGAAGCCACAGGCCACCCATGATCTTTGGCTTTGGAGGTGGGACTCAGCACATGTCACCACATGGCACATCACTTGCCACAAAAGGGGCAAGTGATACTGATAAGCTTCAGGCCAGGGACAGCCCTCCCTAGGACAGCCTCTACATGGTAGGACAAGAAAAGCATGTGTGCTGGATTGCCAGGGTGCATGTGCTAGCCTTGGCAACACCATGCTTGCAGAAGCACTGCCTGCGGCCAAATAAAATGACTTCTACATTTCATTGGGGGAATCTGTGGTTTTCACCTAATTAATATCAAATCAGCTATGTGAAGCCAGGTATGGTGACTCAGACCTCTCATCTTAGCATCAAGGGGGATGAGGCAGGAGGATCAATGAGAGTTTGAGGCCTAGGACAGTATGGCAACAGTGTGAGATATTGTCCTAAAAAACAAAACACACAGGTTGGTGAGATGGCTCCACAAATAAACATGTTAGCTGCCAAGGCTGGTGACCTGAGTTCCATTCCAAGGACCCATGGAAGGAGAGAACCAACTCCATAAAGTTGCCCTCTGATTTCCACATCTGTGTTGTAGCACATACCCACCATTATGCACACACGATAATAATAATAATAATAATTTTAAGAATTAAAATATATACACCTAACATCAGTTTCTGAAACTTCTCAGGTTGGATTTTAGAAGTGGACATGTCAGGCTGGTAGGATGGTAAGCAGATACAAGTACTTGTCATGCAAGGTTGATGACTTGAGCTCCATCCCTGGAACTCACAGTGGAAGGAGAGAACAGACTCATAACGTGGCACTAGCATAAACCTGTACTTACACACATATTGTGCACACAACACACAATAATAAATAAATAAATAAGTTAAAATAAATAAAAACAGTTGAAAGGTCTGCATCTGCTGATGTAAAAAGTAGCTCCCTTGTATTTATGTGGATTGTGAAGTTCACAGAGCCCCTCTTCCCCTTTGATTTCATCTTGTTCCTCACTATGTCCCCAAGGAGTAGAAAGGCATAGGCATGTTTATCACCTTTGTAGGACAGATGGATGTGACTCAGTCAGCTTGGGCGGGAGGACAGTCCTTCTCCACTAAGTTCGGAGCAGGTCCCCATCTCCTTTCTACAGTGCTCCCCAATTGCAGTTGTCAATGGCCAAGCTCAACAGCTGTTTTTGTTCCTCTGATGAGAAGGTGACCTTTGACGTCAGAGGGCTGCAGACAAAGACGTGGATGCTCCACTTCCTACTTGGCGAGAAGGGGCCGTAGCTACACTTTAAATAGACATTGCTGCTTTGGAGACTCAGAAAGCACTTTTATGAAACAGCAGGCCTAATGTGTTTGGGGCATTCTGGTTTCTCCCCGATGCAAGACCTCAGATTCTTCTTCTTGGGCCATAGCCTTCACCTTTGCCTGGACACCCTGCTGAAGACCTTCACTTTTGTTCTAATCCTGGCAGAAGGAGCAACCCTAGCAACTGGTCCACATTACAGCAGATGAGAGCTGAAGCAGCATTTCCTGCATTCTGGGGGCTGCAGGCCTTGTTCTTTCAGACCCCTGGGAATTACCTCGGCCAGAAAGCAAGGTTGATTAGAGCTGACTGATTAGCAAAATTTGTTACCAATAAGAACACTGAAAAAAGCTCAGTAGCTTAACTGAAAACTCCTCAAATACAAATAAGACACAGTGAGACATGATAGATGCCTACGAGTGGGTGAGAAAGGACAAGACTAATTGTAGATTGCTAAGGAATGTCAAGCGGCCACAGGAACGAAGCATCCTGTCTTGTCCCCATCGTCACAAAAAAACCCTCTGATTCTGAGCAAGACACTTCTGGTTTTGCTTCCAAAAGACAGAACTTGTCATTAGGTAGCAAGCAGATTTTGTATATATTTGATAGCTTAGCTGGCATGGCAGTGCATGCCTGTAACCCCAGTACTCGGGAGACAGGGGAAGGAGGATTGTCACAAATTCAAGGCCAGCCTGGGTTACAGAGCAAGCTGTAGGCCAGCCAGGAATACACACACACATATATATATATATAGATATATATATATATACATATATATATATATATGAAGACCCTGTCAAAAGAAAAAAAATGAAAGGAAGGAAGGAAAGGGAGGGGATGGGAGGAGAGGAAAAGAGAAGAGAAGAGAAACTAAGAGTATCACGGCACCTGGAATCACAGTACTTCGGAGGTGGAGGCAGGAAGATCAGAAGTTCAAGGTCATCCTCCTCTGCCACACAGTGAATTCAAGTCCAGCCTAGGATATGTGAGACCGTCTCAGAAGGAAGGAAGGAAAGAAGGAAGAGAT